TCGAATGCCGATTGCTCGAATTAAGCGTATCGATGTGTGTATGTGTGTGCTATGTATTCACCAGACAACATACACACATTCCGCCCCAGCTAGTTGTATTGTGTAGAGACAATGCAAATGCTTTATTTTGTGGAGTATTTCTTTATTCCATGTTATTTTATTCGTGTTGCATTGCACATTGCCCAAAATGAATAAAATCCCGTTTTGTATATCGGTTTTAATGTGGATGCCATTCCAGTTTTTGTGGCTCCGGTCATTGTTTGGAAACAATTTTACACAATGTTTTGCTAATACTTTGCCGCTTTGCAAATGTATTATAGTTCCTATTTTTTGTGTTCACTCTGACACCCGCCTTCGTATTCAATACACTCATGCTCGCACCATCGCTCTATGTTTTCGTTCAATTAAGTTCACTTTTGGTTCTCGCATATTTTTATGCAGACAGCAGTCAGAAACGATTTTGTTACCGAAAAATGCGCTCGTGAACATCATGTCGATCGACTGTCATTGACGTTGTATGTATGCATGAGCCCCAAACGTGTACAAACACGCCAATTCCAATACACGATTCGGATGATAATAGGATTGATGGATATGAATAGAACACCAATGACACAACGTATTATCACGTCGAATTTACTGTTCGACGGTACTGAGCTCGATTTTTTTTCTATCCTTTTTCCCTCTTTCACTCTCTCCCTCTTTCTCTCTCTTTCTCTCTCTCTCTCGCCTTCCCAAGATCCATTTTAATGCAAATACGGTTTTTAATCGATTTTTATGCACTTTTGTTGTACTTGTTATTGCTACTACTGCTACTGCTACTGTTGTTGCGCAAGTGGCGGAATGATTTTGAAATCGAGAAACGAACACTGCGTAAAATATATCGGGATGGATGTGAACGGCATGGAATTGTGAAAGGCGAATTTCAAATGGATTGAAAGATATTCAAATTAGTGCACGGCACATTTGCAGCATTTATCGTATTCGCATTTGCTTTATTGCATTCCATCCTATTCGGAATGGTGTCGTTCAGGTAGCAATTGTTTACGCCATGAAATATTCAAGAGATGCATAATTTTTTACATCGTGCCAATATCGATATATCCAGCCAGCCAGCCAGCACCAACAGCAGCAGCATCACAGCATTTTGCGAATGCAATTCAATATTTACCATCATTCGATAAACATTTGACAAGTGTAATAGCACTGAAAATCACAGAAAACGATGTTCTCTACAATTGAGATTAAAATTTAACTTGTGTTTTGCAATCAATTGAACTGATTTTGCCGAACGAGCATCCGCTCTGAGACATCAATCAAAATGATTTACAAAGCAAATGCATCGATTCGGATTTTCTGACGAATTAACGAAATCAATGTAAGTTTGTGCTTAAATGCTACAAAAAGAAATTAAATTCCAGACATCAACTCTTTGCAAGGTAAAAAAGATACGATTTCAAGAGTATCAACCAATTTATTTAGTGTTGCGTTTATCCAATCAAATCTTCTTGCAATAGAAACGCACGATGGAAGTTTTTCCATCGAAGGGAATGCCATTTAAAATAGATTAAAAAAATATTTACTACATTGATGAGCATTTCATTTTGTACGTATGTGAAAAATGGAGCATAATTTCGAAAATCAAAGAAATGTTCGGAGCCAAACCACGAGATTTAAAATGGAGATTTTAAGGAATCTTCACATATTCGATTCTTCAAAATCTCCATGTGAATTCTACAATGTTGCAGCTTTGGAACTATAGTCATATTGAGTTTGATCGAGAATACACAGTCGAAGAATATATTAAAATGCTAAGTGTTTTCACGTTTTACACCGCGCTCCAAAATCGTTCCGATCAATTGTACCTAGCCAAATGCAAAAATGATTTCAAATATCAAGAGTTGCATAAGGCATTACATAACAAGCCATCAAACCCAGTTAAAAATGGAAGAACTAGCACACATTTCTGGATTGAAATTAATGCTGAATTTAAATAAATCGAGAAAAACAATGCCGAATGCTTAAGAGGAATTTAATGAAATTTAAATCAAATTAAAGCATGAAAACATGTTCCATTTCCACTCGTTTAGTCGAATTTATCGGTTTAGATATGCTCTTTGTTGTGGATTTCTATTCTGCCGGTGTAATTTTTAAAATCGCTAAATCGGTTGGTTTATTTTTGCTAATTGAATTTTTGCCACTGCCGCACACACATATACACCGTTCGTCCATCCGTTCGTTGCGAAGAGAAATTCACTTTGCACGAAATGTCTATAAAAGTAGTGCTTTAAATTAAAAGCTATCAACGTTTACAGCACAGCCCAGCATACGGTGGATGCATGGTGTGGCGGAGTGGTGCATGCAGTCGATGAATCATGACTCATAAAAAATGCATTGTTCGTTGCATTCTCTTTTAATTAAAATGTTCGAATCAACTTCAAAGCTCTAATTTCATTTCAATTACCCCCGAAATGTAGAATGGCAAATTTTTCGGGACGCTGATAAAAATGGGCTAAATCTCATTTTGCCTTCAATTTGTTGTTGGTTTCGCTTGGTTCTTCTCTCTCTCTCTCTCTCCTGTAAATAAATTAGCCGCACACACATCGATGAATTTATTTCGTTTACACGAAAATTGGCTGTTCAACCATTGCAGAAAATATCCGGTGAGTGCATTCATATGCAAAGAAGCGATGTTTTCGTTTAGCATCCAAACACGGAAGTAATAGATGGGAGGCGTAAATCCACTGGAATATCGTAACAATAAATGAAATTAAATAGTAAATTTTGTTATAATTTTAGACCATTGAAGCAAATAAAACGCAATGGAGATTCTTGACTAATTAATGTTGAGATTCCATCTGAAAATAATATTTCATGGTTTCAATTATCACCGTTTCCTGTACGATAATGGATGATCTCGGGATTAAAATGACTTTCATTCTGAGCACATTTTTATCGATCCAAAGCAAATTTTATCATATATTTTTTCCTACAGTTAGATGGTTTTTTATACATTTAATTAATGCCATGAGAATATAGCATTTTACGTAGTGACAGTTGTGTAAAGCAGCAAAAATCAAGCCGAATGCATAATAATGGTTGGATGCCGTATTTAGCCCATGTAAATGAGTCACTATCTACAAACAAAAAGCGGATCGGTTTAATTTTGAAATATTCATGGGCCGTTGTAAATGATACAAATTTGTCGCTCTCTGCCGAAATGAGTCAAATGAAATGCTGTGTGGCATTACGTGTCCGTACGAATAAATGGTACAAAGTTTTTGGGGCATGTGGTTTAAAGCAATAGTCCATAGGATCGAATACACTTAAAGTGGTAAATGTGAAAATCTATTTCTTGTGGTTTTGTTTCAACAACAGACAGAGATAGATGCAAACGCTTTTCGTCGGTATTCCCTTTTTGGCTATGGACTGCTTCGGTTATTTTTTATTCCTCATTTAATTTTCGATTTCTAACGGAAATGTACACGGTTGGCATTATTCAATGTTTGTTTGCTACTCTTCGCCAATTTATCCTGAACGACGATTACAAATAGCATCAACGGGCTCCGATCTATCTCTTTTCTTCATATCTCTCCATCTCTTTTTCTCCCTTTCTCCACTGTCTTCCTTCTCTTCCTTCTCTTTCTCTTACTCACTCTCTTTCCCACTCTCTCCTTCTCTGGTCTACTGCATTATTTACACCCTAAGCGAAAACAAAGAGCAATGTGCGTAATTGGACGTTCGTGCCAACTTGTGCGTATGCATGAACGGGATGACATAAAAAAAGATAACTTTAGCAAAACTATCATGGCGTAGGACACAAATAGCAAACGCTTACAGAATTGATGGAATAGAGCAAAACTAGCAAAATGAGTAAGAAATAAGATTTTTTTTTCAGTGACAAACACTTATTTATCTATTTAAAACATGAAGATAAGACAGTTGACATTCGAGGTCATGTTTGTCGCCATCAAACGCACATAATATACAGAATATTTACGAAAGGATAGCGAAATTAGCAGAAATTATTCGAAGTAGTGAAAACAGTGAGAGATATTTCAAATAATCGGAGGAATTAGCCATACAGAGTATTTGTGTCAACTTCATGAAAACTTTATACATGCATATACGCCGTATATCTTTGATGTGCATGTGTATTCAAATGCCAGTAAATGTGTAAATAGCAGTAAATAGGAAAGAAGTGGTTAGTTTATTAAACTAGTACGTGTATGGACTGTAATCCAATTCTAAGATAAGCACATCTATGTTTGGCTAAACCGACATAACAAAACGCAATAATATTCAACGGTGAGCGCTTACAATGAATTCGTCTCTAGATCCATACGTCTGCTGTTTTGTGGTTGAACCAACATTTTACGAGTGACATAAAATCATGAGCTTTTCATGTAAAATATTTTTTTTTTTACTTCCATTTTGTGTGTCTACATCAACATGGAACCTAAGTTGAACTATTGAAAGTTGTTTAGTTTGTGAGCGTATGTTCGTAATTTGTGGTGAATCACTGAAATTCAACTTGAGGCTTGATTATTGCGGCATTTTCCCTTCGGTTTGCTTTCGAAGCACTTTTGGTAATGTCAAACGCAAACATTTCTACTGGAAAAAGGGAAATTATTACTATGATTAAGAGAGATCAACCAAAAAATAGTTTATAATTTGATAGCTTTAAACGATTGAATCGATTTTATGCTTGAGGTCATCAAATCTCTCGATTAACAGATCGATTTATTTCAATTCCATTCATCCTTGTGCCGCTTTGGCACTTTGCTAATAATAAAATTACATGATTTATTGCTGTATATGATGGCCTCTCACAAATGTAAAGATGAACCATTTTTTCTTTATTTTGAGCACGTTTTGTATTACAAATCAATTTCTTGATGTTTTGATTTCTGAGCATCCACCAGCCCATGATCGAATGAAGGTTGGCCTTGGTCGTAACGTTCATTTGGGTTGATTAAACGAATATTAATGGAAAATACCTTTTTTTCTGGAGTATTTGTTGATTGAATGATAAAATGTGGTTCATCGAGCCTCTTATCTGTAATGAAAACCAAATCAAATACATGTGAATGCGGTGGTAAATAAATAGTCGACTATAGTTATAACTTAAAAGACTGAACTCTTTTAATTTTGTGCCAGCACATGGCACATACACATAACATGTTATTTTAGCGACTGTTCTGATCTGCAAATAGTTGGCCACTACTCTAACATGGGGTCAGATTTTCTGTTAGCACTCGTGCTCACGTGTTCTCTGTTTTTATTTACGTTATTTTGTTACAATTCCCGAGTACGATTTCCATTTTCTTCTCTAATGTTTTAGTGCTTTTATAGTTGGTGCAATTTTATTATTTTTGCCCGAGTTTGTTTGACAAACAAAATGCACGAACACATTGAGAGAATGAAATAACAAAGAGCAGACAAATCGAAGGCTGAATAGTGGAGATAGAAGAGAGTGAGAGAGAGAGAAAAAAAAATGTTTGTTATCAGGTCCAAATTGATTTTCTGGTTCACTAGAAATACGAAAAGAATCAAAGTGTTATTCACTTCGTTAGGTTTTATTGTGTTAGCACCTAGCGAATGTGCGCACTCAAACTACCTACACCCCAGCTGCAACTGAAATTACATTATCGAAGAGTTAATACATTTTCACCATGGTCACACATCGGGTTTGTGTGTGTGAGTTCATCTACGATATAATTTGATAGGCGTTAAGGCAAATGAACAAACGAAAAAGACGTCAACAATATCCGATTCGGCAAAAACCGTCCATGAATCAATCATTGCACCAATGATAGCATCGATAAAGTAAGACACGCGCTATACTCAATTTGATACGAACAACTTGAAGAAAGCACCTTACGGATGTAAGACGAACTTTTCCCCACTGTTATCCAAAATGATTGGTTGCACAATAGTGACATATTTGATAGAATCTTCTCTGTCGTCCAATGGATAGAAAAATGCGAGTGTTGTGTTATTCAATTTCACCAAAAAAAAAAAGTAGTGTTTTTTTGTTGTTGCTAATTTCCACTGAATCCATACATTTACCCACTAGATGGGCATGCGTTAAAGTAAAAGGTATCGCAAAATCTATTAAAGTGATGTGTGGAGGATGGGAATTTCGATATATCTGTAATTTGAACTTGAACAAAGTTCTGTGTAATTTACCAAGAGCCATTAATCGAGTCAATAAGCAAGCAAGTTTGTTTTTCTTGTGAAATAATCCGAACGAATCTTATGAACGAGTCCAAACGACCGATGCTGCTGCTGTTTCCACTGCTCGCTCGTTATCCGATTTACGGAGCAGACAAAAACATCACATACAAACCGATTCGTCTTAACACAACTCAATTATTTTAATTATAATGATTTTATTTCACATGAAATCAGTGCGAAACAGATTGATTCGACTCTCTTGTTTTTTCTCTACCTATTCTGGTGCAGAAACCAGATTGCAATCTAAAACAAATATCGACACATGATTTTCCATGAAATTAAACATTGAATTTTTTGAAATCATATAAGCTGTGATCTGATTCATGATTGTTCTGGTGTGTTATTTATTAAACCAACATTACAATTGATTTGTTGGATTTCATTGGTGACCAACCAAAAAAAAAAATCCATGCATTTAAAGATGAAAGAGAACACAACCAGATCAAAAGTGCAATGAGTCCTTTTATTTACTTTTAATTAATAACACCACGATTTATTACGGTTAACGCAAAAATTTAATTTATTTTAAATTGATTCATGCTAGAATTATTCATGTGGCATATTCCAGCCAATCTGATCAAAAACCGAGAGAAAACCTCATTGTAAAAAAAAAAAAACCATGTGTGTGAAATATGTTCTCTGAATAATGAAGCAACAATATGTGGGTTGAATAAATAAAAATGGAATATTTGTCTGTCTCGTGCGTTTAGTCATGCAGTTCGGTTTTGGTCGCTGTAAACCCTCAATTATTGTATGGGTGAGAGATACCTCAACCACGAGATGCGCATTGAACATTTGACAGTCGTTCTACTGGCTGAAGCCAATGAACAAATGTGATGAATGCGTTTAATGTCACTGAAAACACCGAAATTATGTCATTCAATTACACGAAAAATACAGAAATTATCTCATTAAACGAGTTCATCGTAAAATTGTATTTTCCGTGGTTTTGTTAGTTGTTCGTGGCCATCGTACGGATGGTGAGGAACCATTTTTAATGGTACATTATAATGAGATTCTTCACGTCGCCGCTATGACACAAGTAAAATATTCATATTAATTATAATTTTAATTATTATTTTTCACTATGGAATGTTCACCATTGCGATTATATGTAATGCACGGATGTGGATCTGGGTGAAATTAATGAAAGAATAACATATTACAAGCGGCAGGTAGCAGAGCATTCAGATTCGTGGGTTAATTAAAATAACAACAAATAGTTGCAAATGGTGAGAAAGGTGGGGAGAAACCGGTTTTTGGCCGATTTGTAGATGAAGTCACGGTTAATCTGTTTTCTTTGTTAAAAACTAATATAACTCCAGGCTAACCATCTGTCTAACTTCATTTTTTGGTTCGACATGTCGATTTATTCTATGCATTTTTCAATTATGATCATCATTCTATACCCATATTAATTGAGAGGATACATTTTTTTGCTCTTCTGTAAGAGATTAATTCCCTTTTTGGTGGAAAAAAACATGTATTCCTTACATTTTTTTTGCCACATAGAATACAAATTTTTCACATAGGCAATGCTATATTAAGCATTCCATATAAAAATTACACAAAATGAAAAACAGCTCAGTGATTTTCTTTAATAAAACTGCAAACTAAAATGTGAAGGGAAGCTTTTACTAAAACTAATATATTAATTGAAAGAATCTTCATAAGTTTATGAAAGTAGAATTTTGTTTGATTTGTGAAAAAAAAAAAAATTCATAAGAAACTATCTTTGTGCCCACTGAAAGCAATCTTCTAAATGTAATTGAAAGTTGCAATTTTCAGCAGCATGCTACAGTGTTGCTTGTGGTACAAGTGAAAAGTTCAGCTTCCAATTGAAAACCAACATAACATAGCTCGAATTCAAAGGAAATCATATTGAATGTTGCGCGTCGGCGGCGGCGACAGCGAAAATGAAGCGCTGAATTTCAAAGCCAAAAAAGTATTACGAATTATCCAGTCAAAATGTGTGCTAACATAAGTGAACTATTTATTATGCAGTCTGCATGCATGACAATGGTAATTTAATATGTTTGGATATGTGGAGCATACGAATGGAGTGGCCACCACATAGCCATACTGTGCACTGTGCAACGTGCAAGATTATTTAAAACGAGCTATTAATAAAGTTCATATTTCAATTTTTCACCAGAGGCACCAGAAATGTATGTTCCATTACAGAAGAGGGACGAGAGAGAGAGAGAGAGAGAGAGAGGCATTGGCATCACTTGTTGTGTCGTTTTTTTGCTTTTTTTAAAAATTTCCGATGTGATTCTGTGTGCACAATATGCAACAATGCTTCGCCAATGATATATTATTGTTGCATCTGTATTTTCAACGGCTTGTCATCGACAACGTGCAATTATGCAATTCCCATTCATATTTTTCTCTTGGCATTCGTTTGTGTCGCACCAGCCGCGAATGGAGTCTGTAATACAGACTCTGTATCGTTGCACAGTCCATATCAGTGCGCAGAATGCGTTTGAGTGTTCAACATGACAAACGACACCAACGAACAAAACAAAAAAAAAATACGAAGCTGTTTTTTCTCTCTTTTCATTCCCTTTTGTCTAGGATTATTATGAAACACAATGACAATTGTATTACATAGTTTTTATGTAATTTCATAGCTCGCAGCTTAAATGTCACTTATGATATTTTGAAATTTTATTTGTACAAGATTTTTTTCTCTTGTTATAATAACGGGAAAAAAGGAGTTCGATACAACAAAACGTGACAGGTTTGAAAATGACTTCGGAAACTGTTCAAATAACATTTTGAATTGAATTCGTATGAAAATCGCCGGAATAAGGCGAAAGAAAGAGACAGAGAGTGTGCACGTTGCACTGAAAATGATCTGTTCTGGAGAGATTTTATAAATTCTGTAGCATTGGTACATTGCACGAGAATATTTTGTCGAATGTAACGAAGAAAGTTTTGTATGATTTATTCTACGATGAGCGATCCGGTTGATTTATTCACTTTGTGCAACAAAAGTTGATCTGGAAGTATTGGACATCAATTTCAAGCAAATAGAATCCATGTAAATTTACGAAAAGTATTAGTAGAATGTGCAAATATTTCTTGCGAAGCGTAATCACACCACCCTCTCCTGCAAATCAACATCTCATGTTTATAAGTAATATACACAAATATTTTCGTCCAATGCACAATTACGTCATTTATTTTTTTGTCAGCGTGAAAATTGCGCAGAAAAAGATTTTCTTTTGTTGAATTCGTTTCAATCATGTTATATGGCATCACTATGGCGTTCAATGGTTCATTGAATTCTAACGCAGTGCATGATTGTAGTGATATAGCCATAGCAACTGCTCGATGGGTCATCCGCATCGACGATGACTGAATCATTCGATAAAAATGGTGGTGGCAATGAATTGAGCATGAAACGGAAAAAAGAGCTGTTCAAATGTTTTTTTCTTTTCTCATCCAAACATATTTCATCAGACGCAGCAAGTGGCAAAAAGCATGATATTTTGATTTCGTCACAATGTCATCCATTGAATCTTTTCACTGGAAAGTGTCTCATGTTTCGCCGACCACGAACGAATCCATTTTCTTTTTCGCTTCCTCTTTTTTTGTCTCCTTCGTCTGGTGATAACTTATTTCTCTATCTCGAAATGTGTCTGTGTTTTTATTTTTCATTCGGTATACGTTGGAAGCTAGCATACAATTTGTGTAGTCGTCGGCATTGCCAAACACTGCCTGAATGTATTGCCCTTTTCAATTTTTCACATTTTAATTTTCAACGCTACATTTTGGCATAGCCAACATGGCTAAATCAAATAAATGTTCTGT